ATTTAAATTATTATATTGAAGTGAAATTCATTCTTGCGCTGAAAAGAAATGTACGTTTGACTCTTCTTTGTCCGGCGGTTTCGTATATTTGTATTTTCTCTCTTTTTCAAGCGTTTAATCCAATACCGGGCAAGCGTCCATCAAGTCCAGTTGCGAATGTATTGTCCAGTCGCCGTTGGGTTCCCCGTAAATTTGCGCATGCATGTTCCACGTGTCGCATAAAGCGTAAAACCTTCGTGAATTACGGTAGTATCGCGTTACAACAAGCCCGTGGCACTCGCACTGTTCGACAATTCTTGCTGTCCTTTGCCCTTTTGAAATTTATACAATTTTTTCATAATCTTCAATTTTCAATCAGGAAATTTTCTCACACATTTCCTTTAATAGTTGCAAATTTCTGATGAAACTTTAATTAAAACTATTTTATCTTCAATAAAATTAAATAATTTTAGAGTATAAATATTGTTTTGTGGAAAATATTCGGCGGTATTAGGAAATAGAAAATCCATTTATGGTTAGTGTAACTTGTCATTTTAATGCTTGAAGATATTGAACAAAAACTTTCCAAAATGACTAATACAATATGGCTGAATAACTTTAAAAGATTTGTCACATTTTCTCATAACAATGTAGGCTAAACCAGACAGTACACAGTGTGGAAAACTGTTGATGTTTGTGACAAAACGTAATACTCTTGACAGAGGTTATATAATTTAGAGAAAAATTGTATATGAAAGCTAAGTTTCTATAGATTATGGGAAAAATACGGAGAAGCTTCTAGAAAATGTTTGAACATATAAAAAAATCATGCAAAGTTGGAATTTGACTGAAGAAAAATGGTTTTCATTGTACTAACAACACAAAAGCGTTGAAATCATTATTTGTATATGGGCAATTCCACGTGAAATTTTAGTTGACCTCTTAAAATCGTCCAAAAATATTTTTTTTCTATTCTGTATAAAAAAACATATACGTATTTTTTTATTTTTGTTTAAGTGTCTAATTTTTCGAGTTATAATTTTCGAAATTTTGGACTTTTAATTGTAGACCTATTTTCAGTAGCTTATAAGTCCGAAAATATTGAGTTTAGGAGTAAGTTGTCAAAGAATGAAAGTTTTAGTTTTCTTTCGACTTTTAAGAAATGTAAACAAATTTTTTTTTTAATTTTATTTAAAAATTTTTTTTTTATAAACAAATTAATTTTTTTAGTTTTGGGCCGGATTTTTTTTTATTTTTTAAAAATTTATTTATACCTTATAATATAGAGAAGATTTTTCAAAAAGTCCCGAAATGGGCCTGATATGTTAAATGAGTTTTAAAACATTTTCAAAAATCCCACTGTGATGCTTGCAAATGCAACCATCACAGTGGGATTTTTTTTACAAATAACATTTTAAAACTGTCTACAGCGTATAATTTTTAATCTATTTGAGTGTTCTTTGTTTTAAATTAAAGGGTCTACGCTGCAGACAGTTTTAAAAAGATAATTGTAGAATAAAATTTACTTTGATGCTTGCAAATGATTTTTGAAAATGTTTTAAAACTCATTTAACACATCAGGCCCATTTCGAGACTATTTGGAAAATCTTCTCTATACTATAAGGTATAAATAAATTTTAAAAAATAAACAAAATTCGGCCCAAAGTTAAAAAAAATTAATTTGTTTATAAAAAAATTTTTTTTAAATAAAAAATTTTAAAAAAAAATTTTTGTTTACTTTTCTTAAAAGTCGAAAGAAAACTAAAACTTTAATTCTTTGACAACTTTTTTCTAAACTCAATATTTTCGGACTTATAAGCTACTGAATATAGGTCTACAATTAAAAGTCCAAAATTTCGAAAATTCATAACTCGAAAATTTTGACAATTAAACAAAAATAAAAAAATACGTATATGTTTTTTTCGATACAGAATAGAAAAAAATATTTTTGGCTGATTTTAAGATGTCGACTAAAATCTCACGTGGAATTGCCCATATGTATATGTCAAAATGCTTTAGATTTAAACAAAACACACATGTTTTATGTTTTTGAGGTCACTGATAACGAAAATGACCTCTGAAACTTAAAATTCAAAACGGCAAATTTAATATGGCCGACTCAAATTGTCTGGTTTACACTATCTAATGCTTTTCAGGGTCACTCATTGTTTTTACAAATACATATGTGATTTCAAACATTTTATTCCATTGATAATAATTATAATTAATTGCGGTAAGTTTACTAAGAAAGGACAATATGTGTCCGTCTATGAGTAAATGTGATTTAGTTCCCAAAAAGTTAATTTCAAGTTATTGATAAAACTACAGATTTTAAGTTGCTCTTTAACTGACAGGAGTTAAAAACAATACATACTAACTTATACATTTTTTGTTATTATCATTCAAAAATTGGTATATGAAAGGATTTCAGCTAGGTTTCTGGTAACTATAACAGCCAGGAACAAGAAACTATTAATAGTGAGGAGTATAATAAATAATATAAAGATCATGAGAAAAATTGCAGTGCTAATCATTCAGGTTCCTCTGGTAAAATGGAAGTAGATTCCGTAGTCCAGATGTTTAGGCGATCATGGGAAAAGTTTGGAGTGATTTACAAAAATAAAATTACATAGGAGACGGCGACTCTAAAACTTACACGGGTATTTTAAAGGCTGCACTTTACCTTATAAAAGTAGTGACAAAGAAAGAATGTATTGGACACATTCAAAAAAGAATGGGAAAGCGGCTCCGAAATTGTGTAAAAACGAATGTGGAAACAATTAACATAAATGGAAAAAATCGTAAAAAAATTCTTGGTGAGTTTGGTCGCAAGCTCACATGCAAAATCATTAATAAATTGACCGTTTATTATGGCTTATCAATTAGAAGAAATTGTGACATAGTCAAAAATATGCGTAATTCCATATGGGCCACATATTATCATTACTGTTCAACGAACAAAAATCCTCAACACGAGAATTGGTTTTTTCATTTTAGATGATCCAGTCGAGAAATAACGTGCCACCGCAACTCTGTAGGCACGTAAACGACTTTGTTCTAGAAACGTTCCTGAAACGTTCTTAGGACGTTTCATGTCCTCTACATGACTTCTTTAAAATGTCCAATGTTCTAAACACGTTTTTAGAACATAAAACGCTTTTAAGACGTTATGTGGAAGACAACTTACTTACTCAGGGGTTTTTAGAGTCGCTGATTACGAATCTGATATCGATTTTTAAAAATCTAATATGGCGGATTCAATATGACGGACTACTTTCTAAAAAATCGATCTAATTTGCTTGAAACTCGTTACGTTTTTCGGGTCGCTGATTACGAATTTAATGTTATTTTTAAAAAAATTTTAATTTCTGATCCAATATTTCATATAATATGGGTACTTAGCGCCAAAGTAATCTTTAATAATATTTTTAAAGTACAATATTTTATTTGATTCAATAAAATAACTTTATAGTTGATTAGAAATTTTAGATTTTTCAATGAGAAAATTTAATTTGTTCTTTGTTTTTTATCTTCATTTGTTTTTTAATAAAATCCGCCATTTTGAATTTTTGAAAATCGACCTTAGATTTGTAATCAGCGACTCGAAAAACCCCCAGAGTAAGGAGTTTCAAGCAAATTTGATCAATTTTTTAGAAAGTAGTCCGCCATATTGGATCCGCTTTATGGGATTTTTGAAAATCGATATCAGATTTGTAATCAACGACCTCAAAAAACCTCCCACTATGCGACGGCCGAGTTTTTAAACTGTGTGTACTGGACAATAATCGACAGTGCACATCATTATACCTCGACGTCAAATCCCAGGCTAATGGGAGCGAACCAAGTACCCTTGGTCCTACAGAGTCCGCCGAGCGAGGTATTTATCCACTGAGCTAATCTGTCGGTGTAGTGTAACTCTCTAGCAAATCGGTTTTTTGGAATTTCATACCTCCTAGAGCTCCTTATTTTTGGGGGACTCTGGGAGAAAGCAATAAAATCGTTTAAATTTCACTTCGTCCTAGTCACTGGAAATTCTCTTCTGACTTACAAGCAACTTCACAAATATGTAACAGAAATTGAGTCAATTCTTAAATTCCAGACCTTTGACTCCTCCCTCTACTGATCCTAATGATCTTAATCCTTTAACACCCGCACATTTCCTCATGGATGATTATCTAATAAGCTTGCCGCAAGAAGATCTTCGCAACATTCCAGAGCATGACAGCTGTTGGCAACCAACTCAAAAAATTCGTCATCACTTCTGGGACCGATGGCATAAAGAATACCTGAACGAGTTAATTTGTAGGAGTAAATGTCAATCTGCGACTGATCAAAGTATTATACAGTTAGGAATACTCATCTTGTCCAAAGAGGACAACCAGTCACCAATGAAGTGGTCTCTTGGAAGTATTGTCACCCAGGATCTGATGGAATTGTGAAGGCTGTGTCAATAAAGACGAAATCAGTTGTTTATAAGCGGGCATTAAAACTTGTGTGTCCTTTGCCAATAGACTAAAAAACAATATAATCTTTAAAGGTGGGTGATGTGAATTAATTTAACATTGTCTGTTTAACCTTTAAAGGGCCGGTATGGCCACTTAAATGGCCAGCAAATAATAATTTAAAAATAAGCCTTGGAACATATCATTCAAAAGTTTTCAGGGTCGCTGAATACGAATATGCAAACAGAATTTCAAAATTCAAAATGTCGGATCCAATATGGCGGCCGACTTCTTAAAAAAATGATCAAAATGATTTAAATTTTCATACCTTCCTTTAGCATTACCCAGGGCTAACGACGTGGACGTAGAAAGTTATGTAACCCCTTTTTTTGTTTTTTTTTGCTTTTTTTGTTTTTTTTGTTTTTTTTTGCTTTTTTTGTTTTTTTGTTTGCTTTTTTTGGTTTTTTTTGTTCTTTTTTGCTTTTTTTGTTTTTTGTTTTTTTGGTTATTTTTTAATTAAATTGAACAAAATAATAAATAAATCTAATTAAAGAATAAGAAACTTTGATGGAAATGAAGTTATCCGAGAATTTCAAATCTATGGTACTTTTCGAAACAGGGAGTTACGCATAAGGCAGTTGTAGAAGTTGAACAGTAATATTTCGTTCTTTTTCTAGTTCCCTTGAGAGAACACACTTGGCAGCGTCGATCAGAATTACCTAATTTTGGAAAATGATTACCTGTCAATCGTGAGAGTCCAGAATGTCGAGGTATACTTTCAAAAGAAGATATTCCCAAAATGGATCGAATAACTTCCAGCCGAAATTTCGGAAATGACAGATACTCATTGTTCATTTTATATAATGAGTAAGCTGCAGTGAGTGCTAAATCCATCAAGTGGAAAAACAACTTCCTGTACCACTTCATTGATTTTCGTACAGATTCTGTCAAAGACAACTGCCTGTCAATGTTGTCAATGCCGCCCATATTTCGATTGTACTCAACAACACAAGTTGGTTTGACAATGTCTTCGTTAGTACGGAAGTTTTTTTTACCAGTTGCACAGAAATCAAGTTCGTGAACTGTGGTAATCATATAGACTTCCTTTTTGTCCATCCATTTGATGAGAAGCCAGCAAACAGTATGAGCAGCCTCTACTTCACCCCGTTGTAATTTTGATTCCATTTTCGGTAAACCTTTCCGGTTAGATTTCACTGTTCCGCAGAGTCCCGTATCGCGATCGTGTAAAAATTCTGCCAACTGAGCGGATGAGTACCAGTTGTCGACGTACACAACATGGCCTTTCCCAAAGTATGGTTTCAGAAAATGAGCAACAATGTCACCAGTTATTCCCAAGCCAAACTTTTTGTAATCAGTATTTTCCCCAGTGTACACGATGAAATTCAATATAAAACCGGTTTGGCAATCTACTAATTCAAAAAGTTTGATGCCAAAACGATTTCTTTTTAACGGGAGGTATTGTTTGAACTTTAGTCTACCTTTCCACAACAAGAGACTCTCATCAATACATAAATTTTTGCCGGGAATAATCGTGTTCGAAAATTTATCTTGAAGATAATCTATAATGGGTTCCACTTTTTTCAGTGGATGGTCTGTTATTTCTTCGTTATCCTGAAAATGTATATACTTCAAAATCTGCAAATATCTATTTCTGGTCATCACTTCTCGGAATATTGGAGTTGACAACAATGGATCAGTACTCCAATAATCTTTTAAATTACCCTTTCTGGCGTGTCCCATTAAAATTGAGAGGGCAAGAAATTTGCGTAATTCTTCCACTGTTAGAGGCTCCCATGCCTTCATTTTGGCATGATAAGGTTCTGGATTTTGAATTTGATACCGATTAGATTCCGTTACTATCAATTGAAGCAGAGGTATGTCGAAAAACCACTGAAAGTAATCAATCGGTTCATTGCCTTCCAAAAGAACATTTTCGGAAATTTTTGATGTGCCACTAAAGTCTTTGACAGATGGATAAAAATGACTATCATGAATAATATCAAAGGCAGACCAAGAATTAGGATCTTCGATATTCAAATCTGTTATGTCAAAATTTGCAGCATCTATTTCTTCGGGTTCGGATTCGCCACTACTCCAATTTCTTCGCCTCTCCATACGTCGCTTCTTCATACTTCGCTTCTCCATATCTCCAAATAATTATATATAAATAATAGACAAGTTATCGGGAACTTTAGAAAAGGACAAAACTAAGTAATCATACAGTCAACAGTTTTCGTTGAATAATACAGAGCAGCGCTCTAATGTGCAAGTTTTGAAATCATTTACACTTTTCTTTTAGTAAAATAATTGAACGTCTAGGTTTGCAGATTGTCAACTGTTTCTTCTATGTTTCACTGTACTTTTTACTGTATGTATACAAATAAAACATAAAAGAAACAGTTGACAATCTGCAAACCTAGACGTTCAATTATTTTACTAAAAGAAAAGTGTAAATGATTTCAAAACTTGCACATTAGAGCGCTGCTCTGTATTATTCAACGAAAACTGTTGACTGTATGATTACTTAGTTTTGTCCTTTTCTAAAGTTCCCGATAACTTGTCTATTATTTATATATAATTATTTGGAGATATGGAGAAGCGAAGTATGAAGAAGCGACGTATGGAGAGGCGAAGAAATTGGAGTAGTGGCGAATCCGAACCCGAAGAAATAGATGCTGCAAATTTTGACATAACAGATTTGAATATCGAAGATCCTAATTCTTGGTCTGCCTTTGATATTATTCATGATAGTCATTTTTATCCATCTGTCAAAGACTTTAGTGGCACATCAAAAATTTCCGAAAATGTTCTTTTGGAAGGCAATGAACCGATTGATTACTTTCAGTGGTTTTTCGACATACCTCTGCTTCAATTGATAGTAACGGAATCTAATCGGTATCAAATTCAAAATCCAGAACCTTATCATGCCAAAATGAAGGCATGGGAGCCTCTAACAGTGGAAGAATTACGCAAATTTCTTGCCCTCTCAATTTTAATGGGACACGCCAGAAAGGGTAATTTAAAAGATTACACAGCCACACAAAAAAAAAGTTCTGATCTGGGGGTCTCACTATGTAGACTTTATGTTTTTTGGGTCGCTGAATCTGAATCCGAGGTCCATTTAACCCCATCAGATCAGGATTTTGACATAACCTCAAAAAACCAATATGGCGGACACATTTTTGAAAAGTTCATCGGATTCGCTTGAAATTCGTTACTCGGGGGTTTTTGGGATCGCTGATTACGAATTTGAAGTCTGATTTCAAAAATTCAAAATGGCGGATCCACTATGGCGGACACGTTTTTGAAAAATTCATCGGATTCGCTTGAAATTCGTTACTCTGGGGTTTTTGGGGTCGCTGATTACGAATCTGATGTCGGTTTTTCAAAATTCAAAATGGCGGATCCAATATGGTTGACACAGACATATTGGATCCGCCATTTTGAATTTTTGAAATCTGACTTCAAATTCCTAATCAGCGACCCCATAAACCCCAGAGTAACGAATTTCAAGCGAATCCGATGAATTTTTCAAAAACGTGTCCGTTATAGTGGATCCGCCATTTTGAATTTTTGAAATCAGACTTCAAATTCGTAATCAGCGATCCCAAAAACCCCCGAGTAACAAATTTCAAGCGAATCCAATGAACTTTTCAAAAATGTGTCCGCCATATTGGTTTTTTGAGGTTATGTCAAAATCCTGATCTGATGAGTATAAATGGACCTCGGATTCGGATTCAGCGACCGAAAAAACATAAAGTCTACATAGTGAGACCCCCAGATCAGAACTTTTTTTTGTGTGGCTGTGTTATTGGAGACTGATCCATTGTTGTCAACTCCAATATTCCGAGAAGTGATGACCAGAAATAGATATTTGCAGATTTTGAAGTATATACATTTTCAGGATAACGAAGAAATAACAGACCATCCACTGAAAAAAGTGGAACCCATTATAGATTATCTTCAAGATAAATTTTCGAACACGATTATTCCCGGCAAAAATTTATGTATTGATGAGAGTCTCTTGTTGTGGAAAGGTAGACTAAAGTTCAAACAATACCTCCCGTTAAAAAGAAATCGTTTTGGCATCAAACTTTTTGAATTAGTAGATTGCCAAACCGGTTTTATATTGAATTTCATCGTGTACACTGGGGAAAATACTGATTACAAAAAGTTTGGCTTGGGAATAACTGGTGACATTGTTGCTCATTTTCTGAAACCATACTTTGGGAAAGGCCATGTTGTGTACGTCGACAACTGGTACTCATCCGCTCAGTTGGCAGAATTTTTACACGATCGCGATATGGGACTCTGCGGAACAGTGAAATCTAACCGGAAAGGTTTACCGAAAATGGAATCAAAATTACAACGGGGTGAAGTAGAGGCTGCTCATACTGTTTGCTGGCTTCTCATCAAATGGATGGACAAAAAGGAAGTCTATATGATTACCACAGTTCACGAACTTGATTTCTGTGCAACTGGTAAAAAAAACTTCCGTACTAACGAAGACATTGTCAAACCAACTTGTGTTGTTGAGTACAATCGAAATATGGGCGGCATTGACAACATTGACAGGCAGTTGTCTTTGACAGAATCTGTACGAAAATCAATGAAGTGGTACAGGAAGTTGTTTTTCCACTTGATGGATTTAGCACTCACTGCAGCTTACTCATTATATAAAATGAACAATGAGTATCTGTCATTTCCGAAATTTCGGCTGGAAGTTATTCGATCCATTTTGGGAATATCTTCTTTTGAAAGTATACCTCGACATTCTGGACTCTCACGATTGACAGGTAATCATTTTCCAAAATTAGGTAATTCTGATCGACGCTGCCAAGTGTGTTCTCTCAAGGGAACTAGAAAAAGAACGAAATATTACTGTTCAACTTGTACAACTGCCTTATGCGTAACTCCCTGTTTCGAAAAGTACCATACATTTGAAATTCTCGGATAACTTCATTTCCATCAAAGTTTCTCATTCTTTAATTAGATTTATTTATTATTTTGTTCAATTTAATTAAAAAATTACAAAAAAAAAGAAAAAAAAGCAAAAAAGCACAAAAAAACCAAAAAAAGCAAACAAAAAAAAACAAAAAAAAAACAAAAAAAGCAAAAAAAACAAAAAAAGGGGTTACATAACTTTCTACGTCAACGTCGTTAGCCCTGGGTAATGGTAAAGGAAAGTATGAAAATTTAAATCATTTTGATCATTTTTTAAGAAGTCGGCCGCTTTATTCGATCCGCCATTTTGAATTTTAAAATTCTGTTTGCATATTCGTATTCAGCGACCCTGAAAACCCCCGAGTAACAAGTTTCAAGTGATTTTGATCATTTTTTGAAAAAGTCGGCCGCCATATTGGATCCGCCATTTTGAATTCTGAAAATCTGATGCCAGATTCGTATTCAGCGACCCTGAAAACCCCCGAGTAACAAGTTTCAAGTGATTTTGATCATTTTTTGAAAAAGTCGGCCGCCATATTGGATCCGCCATTTTGAATTTTGAAATTCTCTTTGCATATTCGTATTCAGCGACCCTGAAAACCCCCGACTAACAAATTTCAAGTAATTTTGATCACTTTTTGGAAAATTTATTCTTCGTACTGTTGATGGCCGGGGTGGCTACTATAGTGGCCACCATTTTTGTTGGCGAATCATTTTATTGAATTGACTTCTTATTTATAAACTTTTTTGTAATACAGAACTACTAAAATCTGTGCAAATTTACCGGCCCTCTAAAGGTTAAGGGGGCTTGGCATGTTACTGCGTAACAATTTTGTCTCGGAAAAACCCACAAATTTGAAGTGTATTACTTATAATAGAGGTAGCTTATTGTGTTTCTTAAGTGGATTAGGGAAAGGGAAAAGAGAACATATTGAATAGTACTGGCTTTCATAATAGATTAAGTTGTTTATTTTTTGATAAAGAACAACACAAATTGCAATACTTCAATATTTATATTTAACGTCAATGATTTTATTATCATCCAAAAATGACCAATGGAAACACGTACGCAGGTCAGTTAAACCTCAATAAATGTAAAATTACTCTCTATGCCTTCAAAAGTAAGATCTATTGTCCTTTTTGGAGGCGGTCCTTAAGTCCTCCTTCAATCTGCAAGTGAAGATAAAAGTTACTCTTACTCTTTGAAAAATAGGTTTACGTAAAACAACAATGTATCACTTAACGGTGTTGCGCAATTTCAAACAGTGGTCGCCTTTTAAAAATGGCTGCTTGAACGTAAACATAATTTCAAAAGGATTTTTCTCTCAATTTGGACAATTATTGCAAAATAGGAAAAAATACCAGTTATCCTGAAATTTTGTTTTTTCATTTGTGCACAAGAAATTGAAAATCCAATATAATACACGACGTTAGGAAGTAAAATGAGAAAATTAAATGTGCCCATTAGGTGCTGCTCTCTGGTGGTAATTTTATGTATCGCGCATTTGTTTAACTTTTTCCTATTTTACTTTCTGTCGTTGTAAATTTAAATATATCTTTTACTTCTTGCGCGCAAATGAAAGATAAACTATTCAGGATATCTTGTATTTTCTCCGATTTTGCAATAACTGTCTGAATTGGGAGAAAAATCATTTTCAAATCAAGTATACATTTGAGCAGCTATTTTCAAAAGGTGATCACTGCGGAACACCATTAAGAGACAAGGTTCTCAATGTAAATTGAAATGAGCAGTATTTTCAAATTAGACTAAATTTTTAATTGTGTAGTCCAAATGCTTGATAATGATGAATAAATCTTGTTATGTCAAAATAAAACAAAACACAAGCTATTTTTTAACCAGCCCAAATCACACACTAGTCTAAAACTAAAACGCGGTAGTATAAAGCACCAACTGTTTCCGAAAGGTTTCTTAACTCTATTAATGATACATCAGATTTATCAGCTCTTAATTTAGAAATGCGATTAACTAATCATGAATAATTGTGGGATAAATTTTACAACTTGGCCGACTCGGATCAGCACAGCGGATCCTTTTGTCCCCATTGTTTCTATTCGAGGAATCTATGGCACGGGTACTTCCGTTTCCATTTGAGCCGCTTCTTTCATCTTCTTCCTCTAACCGACTTAGCTTCAAGTCTCCTTTGGACTGTCGCCCTCTTTCCTCCGTTTCTGAACTTCTGAGCATCTTTTATGATGCTTTTGAGATTCCGCCTATAGTAGCGCTCTCTCTTTTTTACGATCCTTGCGGTTACACTCCGCATCGCTGAGAACGCATGCCAAATCGACATCCGACTCATTGGACGCGGCATGTTTCACTTTTGCCTTTTTCAGCAGGACTTTGATGACTTTGAGTCCATCTTTTACCGTCTTATTTACGTTTCTCTGAATGTCGCAAGACTTCATCATCTTTACGACCTCCAACTCTATTTTGTCAAGGCAAGTCACCTCATCTGTTCTGAGCCAGAAGCATATCTCGCGAGTCATTCTCTTATGACGACGACCATTGGCACTGCAAGAAATTGTGCGCCCCCATAATCCGCGCGCACTTGAGCATCAGTCCTGGGACCGATGGTGAGATTTCCCGTTTCCAGCCTGCTCACATGGGGTACATTCTTTTTCTTGCTGTTTAGTTGCCCTTTAGTAAAAAGTCCCGCCACCACAACTAGGTCTACCGATCATATCCATGATGTCAATCATGTCTGGCAGTGGATAAGCATACACTAATCCCAGAACATCGATGATGTTCAGCAGTGGACAACCATTAGCGAGGGTAATTTGTCATCTTAAACTATTGTTTATTAGATGCTTATGTAAGAAATTTTTCCCATCTGCTTGTTGTTTATAATAACTTTAATTTATTGCAAGTAAAAATATTTTAATGATTCCAAGTTATAACACTGGAAAGTGATGATCATAAAAGCGTCGTCCATTGGTGACCACGATAGTGACTAATTGACTGATCTAAAATAAACAAAAGAAATTATATTTTTAACTTCGATTTGAAGCTCTAAATATTAAAAGAAAAAAATTATTAAAAATTCTGCAAGCACATATCCATATGTTTTTAAGGGCACTTTTTCGAATGTCATTGTCAACATTTCCAAAAAGTGACATTTACCCCTTATTTTTTTTAAATACTAAAAAATACAACATTTTGGAAAGTAATTTTTTTTAAATCCAATTTTAGTTGTGATATTGATTTTTCCAGATCACCTAAGGTATGTAAAACGTGTTCCCGATAGTTCTATGTTGAAAATATGCTTTGCATTTTAAGGTTTTTTATTTTTTAGGGTTCCGTACACCGTAGGTGTACTGGCGGACCCTATTGGTAAGACTCTTGCGTCCGTAGCCAAATCGTGTCCCCCCCTAGCGGCTAAACTATTTGATCTAAAGAGCTCAAATTTGGTCCAGATTTGTATTTTCACTCGTAGATTACAGGACAACATAGCTGAAATTATGCATGCTGTTGTATTTTTACGCAAATATTAAAGAAAAAATATAGAGAACTTGATATGTAATAATGGCCATAGCGTTGTCAAGGAATAACTAAAAAAAATTTGAAATTTTTTCCCCATAATTTTTTACATTATTTGACCAAATAAGCTACAAATTGGTATACTAGTGTATTTTTACAATCTGATAACAAAAATTAATTTTGAAACATTTTTTTTAGAAATAACTTCTTTTGGTACCAAATGATCTAAATATTAGTGTACGGAACCCGCTATTTCAGTGCGAGTGAAACTCGCACTTGTTTTAATTCAAAATGACGCATAAAAATAAATTGTTTTTCAAAAATTAACACAGGATGGATAAAATTTTCAAAAGTTTTTCAATTTGCTTAAAACTTGTTACTCGGTGGTTTTTGGGGTCGCTGATTACGAATCTGAAGTCAGATTTTCAAAATTAAAAATGGCAGATCTAATATGGCGTACGACAAAATGAAAACTTCATCGTATCTGATTCAAATTTGTTACTCGGGGATTTGGGAGTCGCTGATTATGAATCTGAAGTCAGATTTTCAAATTATAAAATGTCGGATCCAATTCAGTCGAATTTTAATTTTCTTGGACATTAAATTAAATCGTCATCTTTATTATATATTCAAGCATTTGTAAAAAAATTTTAAGTCGAAATATTTAAAACTGCCGTCGTGGCACTCCTTCCAGCGCAATTCCGTTCTTTTTTAGGTGCACAAACGGTGTACATAAAATCTCACGTCTAGGTGATCTAATACAAAAAAACAAAATATGGTTGTTATCTACATAGTATTGACTCTCGTCTGACAAAGGATTTTGCCGATATCTTTTTTTATTTAATTGTTATAAACAATAATAAAATGAAATGTAAAAAAAATTCAAGAAAATTTCAAGAAAGACACTTACTATTCGACAATTGACTGGTGCAGTTCGTGCACTTTAACAAAATGTATCACATAAACCGTTTGGTTATTTTTCATGTATAAATTACAGTCTGAATTTATTTAATAAATATAGTTGTTAAGTAATTTAAATTACTTTCATGTCTTTTATTGTGTAACAACCTTAATTCAAATTTCAAAACAACTACACACAACATTATTCTTACAATACTGTTTGTCATAATGTTTCAAAAAAATTTTTAAATAAAAATATAAGAATTCTTCTAAATAATTAAAATAATGAGAATACAAAAAAATAATTTTGTAATATTAATTTTGATATTTGAAAGAATTTTTAATATAAAAAGGTTTTGAAAATAATAAAAATAGTCAAAAAAATAATTTTTTAATATTTTTGACAAAATTTATGTTTAATAACATTTTCATAAACAATTTTCATCTATTTTTTAATTTTTCTATACTTTTCCATCATAATATTTTTAAAGAAAACTAGTTTTATTCTCTTTGCAGCTCATATACATCGTTACTGCACGACAGTGTTATCCCTTTCAGTAGGCAACCTGTCGATGTCCTCGACTTCCTATGTCGAGTTTTTAATTTATATTGTTTTG